TAATTAAACGCAATTAGAATTATTATAATCTAAATCTATGCACTAAAATCTATATAAAAAATGTTTTGTTTCATCAAAATTACTTTTAATTAACATATTATATTCAAATAACAAAAACTATTATATCCATATCTATAAGTTTAAAACATCACGCTCCTTATATTGTCATGAAATTAGACTCTTGTACTAAGACAATCAAATAATAGGTGAGGTGGCGCCGTTTAATATACTAATTGATGTAAACAGATTGATGAGTTTAGCGGGTTGCAGTGATTCAGTGAAATAATAAACTAGCTCATAGATAGGACTATTACAATAGAGACCAATCGATGAAACTCCTAGAAAGTATGCCAGATAGAGAAAAAAAATACCAATGTAACGAAAGCTCGTTCGTTAACCATTTTTTTTAGGTGGGCAAGTGAGGCGCACTCGCTTATAGCTGTTACGTCTTACGACGCATCCTTTTTATAAAATGCACATTCGCGAAATTCAAAGCTACTAAACTATTCGCACGTCAGCAAAAAGCTAACTAAACACGAGGTAAATGACTCTCCGAAATTAAGCCTTACGACGCATCCTTTTTGTAACATATGCACATTCAAAACTGCTAAACTATTCACACGACAGCAAAAAGCTGTCGAAACACACTCCGAAACTAAGTCACCAAAACGCAAGAATTTATAATCAGCGAAAACAAAATGTCACTCAATATCGCAATACTGACCTGAAAAGAGCTATAAAAGATATAAAAAGCAATGAACAAATTACTCTCGGCAGTTGATCAGTAGTCCGTCAGTCAGTCAATAAGTACCTGTAAGACTCAACTCCGTACACACCGGTCCGACAATTGGTGATCATTTTACTTAATAAACTCGCGACTGTTACAAAGTAATATCGTGCAAGTATTCAATTCAACAAGCAGTTAGAGCCTGATACATTTATTCAATTCAACAAGCAGTTAGAGCCTGCTACACTCATACAATTCAACAAACAGTTAGAGCCTGCTACATTTTATCAACAATTAAAAGCTACGAATATCAAGGTAGTACAATTATCAGACATACATTTCCACATACATTTATTATAAGTGAGACATATCCAACCACTAGTCAACATATTGGAACGTCTCATTCATTAGCTATTCGTAGTTGATGCACGAGACGTAACATAGTAATTGAGGCGGGAAGGGGAAGAAGGCAAATAAATGAAGGTGGTTAGGAAATTATATACAAAACACAAATTCGCATTCAAACAAATCTAATTCTAATCAACTCAAAATCAATTTACACTTATATTTCAAACCGTACATGAATAACCGCATAATAATAAACCGCACTATAAAATAAACTCTTAAAAATCAGCTTTTACAAATTCTTAACCTAATAAACACAACAATGTTCTTAACACCTATTACAAAAGAGAACAAGTTAACTAACTAATCGCGCTTAGAAATCTATACGAAACACAACGCGCGTCGCCCGACAGATGACCGCCTTGGTGACAAACCGACTTAGGCTACTTAGCTAAAAGAGAAAGTCGCGCGGCGAGGGATCGCCTGGACGAGTTCTCTTTGCGCGATTTATAACGCCGACAGTAATTAGGGCAGGTAGCCGGCGTCTGCATGTCTTGCTACCCACCTAATATTTAAAATTACGCACAGTGCCGTCGTTGAAGAGAGAGAGAGAGAGAAAGATTAACTTGCGTGACTTGACCTTTGATGTTGGAACGGGAGGCCTGGCTGTGCCCTGCGCACGATGTTGCTGGTCGTCGCTGGGCAACTCCTGCCGGCTCCTCCAAGTAGCGTCCCGAGCAGATGCCGGAAAAAGTCGTCCTCTGTTCCCTCGGTTTTCTTCGGCCCTTGGCGGTATGTGCGTTCGGCTAGCCCCTCTGTCCTCAGCTGCACTTTGACTTCTTCACCGCTGGCCGTCTACCGTCTTACTCTGATCGACTCGGAAAACCTTCCGACTCTGTTCTCGACTTACTACCGTCTGTGTCGCTCGTTTTTCTCTTCCGCAATCTACAGCTTCTTCGTCTTTCTTTTTTTCTCCCCGCTTGACCTACTTATTAGGCTGAGCGCGACCAATGCGCTAATTGGTTCACGACGCGCGCCTGCCTAATCTTACCTAGGGCACGCACGCCTCCAACTATCTCTTCCTCTCTTTGTAACACCTCTATACTGTCGTCAGCGTAACAGCTTTAGGCCTGCTCGGCCTCGCTCGGCAATCTTCGTCGGCTGAAGCAAAGACCATGCATTAGGCGCATTCTTAAATGCGCCCAACACTGGTCACCATGCCTTGCCGAGAGAGAGGGAGAATTGGGGAAAATTCTGACAAGAACAAGCGCCACGCTTGGTCTCGTCACACCAGCAAAATTATTAACGAGATTAAAGCTACCAAAAAACTGTACGTTCTCCTAACTTAATTGCACATTTTTTTACTTTTCGAAATTATTAATATAAATTTATTTGAACAACTTACTTTTAAGCTAACACATTAATTATTAACAAGGTAGGGACATAGACCGCAAGTTTATTTAATATATTGTTCACTAATGAAATAAAAAACACATGACAATAATGATTGGATTATTGAAAAAGCATTGGAAATCATTCGATATATGTTACTTTTTAAATATTCATATCTTATGGTTACTAAGTCGACGGAATTCGAGGTAACGAGGATTTCCATCAGAACTCCATTACAACAACGAGTATGGTTTTTCGTCGTTACTACTGCCGAGCTCTATCGAGGGAGGAGTTATACGACGTGTTGGCTCGTCGGACGCAGATCCAGGATGAATCCATCGGAAACTACCTGATTGCGTTCGAGAGTGTCGTCAGGAGGATGAGGCCTCCTCCCTCGGAAAGGAAGCAGGTTCGTTTGGTAAAAGCGGGCCTCAACCCTGAGTACGGAACGTTTTTTCGAGAGTGTGCACCGTACACTCTGCATGATCTAGAGTATTACGGTAAGAAGCTGGAGAAGCACCGTGAATACAAAAGGAGGTGGCACCCTCCTTCTGCTAAAGATAACCTGCCAGTTGAGGACGCCGCTTATCGGAGAAAGGGTAAGAAGGCCCACGTGGCAGCCAATGCCGTGGCTGCTCAGGTAGAAGTGCCCGTGGCAGAAAAGTCTAAAGCCAAGAAGAAAAAGAAGAACGGAAAACCTCCGGTGCTGTCACGACCGGACGTTCATCTGGTAGCGACTCGGGGGGGGGGGGGGGCAGCAGTGTGTGGCGAGCAGTTCAATGCAGCCTACACTGCAGCAAAACTCCAACCCTAAGACCCAGAGAAATGCCGGAGGCGCAGGTGAAAATCTGCGTGCTGCCCCATCGTTGCAGGCGCCAGGGCAGATTGCGAGGGGCCAGCAAAGTCTAAGGACCGGGCATGAGCGGGCTAATTTTCAGGGGAGGTGCTAAGGCTGCAATGGAGAGGGCCATAGGATCTCGAAATGCCTAGTTCTGACCGAGGCTAAACTAATCAGGCGCAGGGAAGCTCAATTTGTGTCTGGTGTCATCAACCAGAACACTATGCTCCGGGTTGTCCTCTGAGTCAGTCGAGGAAATCGCGTCAGAACTGCCAAACGCCGAACTGTACATTCCGTACCTGTGCGAACTGCGAGCCGATCCTTAGGCTGGCGGAAAACCGGTCTGCGGGGAATGAGGCTCAAAGCTCTCTGTGGTAGCTCGCAGTAGGCTGCAGGGCTCGGGCACGATGAACTAACGGTAGGAGTTCAGGAAGCGGGAGGAACGGAGACGGACGGAGAATACTGGATAGAGCTCTAAAAGCGTCTTGAGAGTCGTTGGTAGGTGGCTGACGGTGAGGGACGCCAGGAAATGCGTGATGGACAGGGGAGCCATTGGCGCCAGCCGTGTGAGGCAGTGTCTGCAGGTAAGTTCTCGTAGCGGGTTTCCCAAGCGTCTGAGGCGTCGGGCTAGTCAGATGAGCGATCGGGTGAAGTCATAGGTTTCTCTAGGATACCAGCGAATGCAACACGTACTCCAAATGGTAGGAACGCGACGAAGGAGCTGGAAGCTTCGTCGGTTCCGGTGGGGCGGTGGTAGTGGAGATCACGACTGATTGCTTGGCTGCATCTGATGGTGAGAATCCTATGATGGACGTTGTAGTGGAAAACCGTGCACTTCTCATATTGCTCATCGGCGGTAAGCCGTATGGTGCTCTGTTCGACACGGAGGCACAGGTATCGGTTGTGGGCCGCTGAATCACGCAAGACTTTCGAGCTCGAGTCCAGAAAATCCCTGGTGCTGTGAACGGTTTTTCGGGTACATCGGTTAGCTGGGGAAGCTGCGGCTGGTAATCGAGATCGACACAGTGGTCCGGTCAATCGAGGCATACGCATGTGAGCAGGAATTGCAGTACGACATGTTTCTCGGACAGGACTTTATCCGTGCGTTTGGTTTTCGAATGGATGCCAAGGAGGACGCATGGAGTGTCGAAGGTCGGAAAATGTGATACTACTTTGCGCAAAGAGTGGGAGACTGCATATACTTTTCCGATTGGCCGAAAAATCTGAATTTGACTGCGGAAGTGGGAGGACTTTCGGCATTACAGGAGCTCCAACGACTACAGATTGAGGCGCTGGTACGGCGAGTGGTGCCGAAGGAGTTACCTGCGCAGACGGACTTGATCGAGCACATTATTGATATACAAGGTGGTAGGCCGATCAAGACGCCCATGCGCAGGTACTTCCCGCAGGTCACAGAGTTTATTCGCCAGGAGATTAAGGACTGGTACAAAAAGGAGTTGATCCAAGCATGACGGGAGTTACCGTTTGTGCATTGACCTGCGACTGATGAACAAAACCACTCGCATCAACGCTTATCCGATGCCGGGGGTAGATGTGATACTCGATAGGTTGCGAGGGGCCCGGTACATTTCTAAGATCGACTTATAGAGTGCCTATCTTCAAGTGCCCTTGTAAGAAAATAGCAAGAAATATACGGCGTTCGGGGTGCCAGGTTGTGGTCTTTGTGAATGTAACCGGATGATCTTCGAGTTGGTTAATGCCCCTGCAACCTTTATGCACTTGATGGACGCGCTGTATGGACCAGATTTCGAGCCACACGTATTCAAGTACCTCGACGACATGATTATAGTTACAGAAACGTTCGAGGATCACTTGGTGTGGCTCGTGAAAGCGTTAGGGCGCATGGTCCAGGCGGGTCTGAAGATTAACGTCGAGAAGAGCGAGCTTGGCTGTTCTATCGCGACGTTCTTGGGGTATCTTCTCGACGAGAACGGGTTGCGGTCAGACCTCGATCGTGTGAAACCCGTTCTAGACTTTCCGGCTCCGTGGAACATCAAACAGCTGCGTCAGTTCCTGGGGATGTGTGGATGGTACTCTAGGTTTGTCGAACACGAGTTACATGTAAAAGTGCTCCTAACGAAGCTGCTGCACAACAACGAGGTATGGTGCTGGGACTTCGAACAACAACAAGCGTTCGACTCGCTGAAGCAAGCGTTGACTGAGGTCCCAGTGCTGGTGAGTCCGGACTTTACCCGGATGTTCTATGTATACTGCGATGCGTCGTCTTATCGGAGCTTGTCTGATGCAAAATGATGAAGAGGGGTACGATCACTCAGTGTGTTACGTGAGTCGCACACTGAATGAGCACGACAGAAATTACACAGTGTCGGAGCTCGAATGTCTCGGTTTGCTGTTCGGCATTCACAAGTTCAGACCGTACATTAAGGGCGCGCATTTTACTGCAGTCACCGATTCATACGCCTCTGACTTGGTTAAAAAAAAAGAAAGATCCTACGGGGCGACTTGCCCGTTAGATCCTTGAGCTACAGCAATGGAACTTCAAGCTGGTGTATCGTAAAAGGGCATTTCACCATGTCCCTAATGCATCATCTCGTGGGATCGGGATCCAGGAGGACATTGCAGCATTCGAGAACATCGGCGACTCGTGGTATCTTTAACGGCTGAAGGATGTGGAGTCGAGGCCACAGAAGTTCCGGAATTGGAAAGTCGAGAATGGAATGCTGTACAAGTATGGTACCAATAAACTCCTGGACTCGGTGACTTATAAGGAGCAGTGCTGGCGGCTTGTCGTACCAGAGGAGCGTCGATCACGTGTCATGCGAGATGCTCATTGCAAACCGTCTGCGGGACATCTTGGTCGTAAAAAGACGTATGATCGCATCGCTCGCGAGTATTTCTGGCCGGGTATGTGGTATAATGTGCAGAAGTTTGTGCAGTCATGCCAACTATACCAGCCTTATAAAGGTGAACAGGATGTACCGAAGGGTTTAATGAGTACGCGAGTGGTTGAGCGTTCGTGGGCAGTCATTGCCACGGACGTAATCGAGTTACCCCGTAGTAACAATCGGTATAAATACCTGGTGGTATTCCAGGACCTGTTCACCAAATGGGTGGAGTTCAAGCCACTAACGGTCGCTACCGGTAAAACCTTGGGGAATGCCCTTGAAGAGTTAATTCTTTTCAGGTGGGAGGTCCCCGAGTATGTGGTAAGCGACAGCGGTAAGAACTACCGAATTCAGAGGTATTCTCAAGAAATACGGAATCGAACACGTGCTTTGCCCACCCTACCACCAACAGGCTGATTTCTGTGAGCGAGTGATCAGAACGTTAAAGACCATGATCTCGATTTTCGTGGATCATGATCACCGCGATTGGGTCAAACACCTGCACGAGTTTCGGCATACGATGAATACGGCTTTACAGTCGACTACGAGGGTATCGCTTGTGTTTCTGAATTTTGGTAGAGAACCGCGCCCGGCTAAGAGCCTACGAAGAGAGGTGGAAAAACGGGGACCGTTCGTCCGCCTTTCTCCTGGGGAGTGGGCGGACTGAATGAAACGCTTGAACGTACTGCGGAGCCTAGTGCTTAAGCACATTGATCAGACGCAAGATAAACATAAAGGGTATTATGATCGCAGCCGTCGGTCTGCCCAATTCTGGGAGAGCGATATGGTATGGCGGAGGTCGCACACCCTCTCTAACGCGGCAAAGGGTAGGAACGTGAAGCTAGATCCCTCGTACATCGGGCCGTACAAGATGCTAGAGGTGCTATCCCTGGAATTATATATTCTGATGACGGATAGCAAGAAACAGGTAGATCGCGTGCACATAACGGAATTAAGGAGGTTGTCGTGTTACAATACTCTTCAAAAGTATGAGTCAAAGACTGTACTGCGAGTTACAGTCCGTTCTACTGTTGGTGAATGTTCACACACACAAACCAATTGTCTATCCATGTGCACGAATACTACTCTGCGCGCGTGAAAATATAGATGTGGCAACATCACAAATAGGTAATACATACACATGCGATCGTTGATACAGAATCTTTCTACGTTTATTCCAATTACTATTCAATACGTAAAAATGAGTGGCAGGCCTAGACTCAAAAACGGCAGATTAACGTAGGTAAAAGTACTTGAAAGTAGAGCAAAATGTTTAAAAACAATGACTCTAACTAAAGCAGAGAAACGAGAGAAGAAAATAAAAAAGGTGGAAAACAATACGTGCGAAGGATGCCGCGTGGTTAACCTCAAAGAAATAGGCACAAATTTGAATTGCTTTCAATGTAAAGAAACTTTGAGTTATGCAAATATAAGAAGCGAAACTCGTGAAGTACTTTTCTGTATTTTGAAAGTTGCTTGTTTGAAATGTGGTGTACAAAATGTAGTGCACATTGGCAAAAAAATTAAGATAAACAATTCAATATACTCAGATATCAATCTATCAGCTGTTTTGGATATGTCTTTATACATTATAACTACAGTTAATTCATATAATAAGCTATTCTAAATTTATGTTATTTTATATTTAGGCACAATATATTCTGGTATGGGTTGTACTAAATTGAACAAACTATTGAGCTGTTTGGATTTGCCAGGTGTTTCTATGGATTTCTATAAAAGGTATGAGGCTGTTATTGGACCTGTGATTGAGAAGGCTGCGATAGAGTTGCAAAAGAGCTGCTGGAGAAGAGAGTAAGTTGGACATGGAGAATTTAGAAAAATTGTGTGAAAGATTGTAAGTTCACCTGATTTGAACTGACAGTAGTATAACGGTCCAGTCTGATTTCTCCCTTTTCCTACTGCAAAATAGCAACCCGTCGTGGACGAGAAAACCAAACAAAAGCGATAATTGAGAGAAGGCGCTCTTCTCACATATATGTAAATGTGTTAGGGCAATTCGACGAAAACAAGACTATATAAGGAGCGTGACGTTACGAGCGTGGAAAATTTATTGTTTACAATGCAAAATCGACAATTGCAAAGTTTTTTCAAATGAACAAAAGCATTTTTTAGTCAATTTTGATGCGCTGATCTTGAATTTCATGTTATTGTAGTCATTAAATATGTATTTGTTAGTTTAATTTAATTTACAAGTTAATAGTGTTAGTTATTTTGCAACAAATAATTATATTGCTAATTCGAATATGCAATTGCGTTCGTAACGTATTGAAACAGAGAAGCAAGAATTTGACACTTTGGTAACTAATTTTTCACTGAGTTATCAATAAATAAAAAATTTATAATTTATTTAAACAATTAAAATTGCGTTGTTAGACAGCGATTCGATTGTACATAATATGTAAAATTAATGATAATGATTGTTACCAATTTGCTGATTTTTAAATGGCTAAAGAAGAAATTTGCAAATTCTTTTTTTAATTAATATTCAAAATTCGATAGTTAAATTAATCGTTTTTATTTTGAATAATGTTCCACTAATCACAAGCGATTTTTTATGCAAATATTTTCCGTAAATTTATAGTAAATTTTGTGTTATTTGATTATCAAAATTATATCACTTATAACTTTAAAAGACGATTTTTCCTCGAAAACGATTTATGTAATAAAATTCGTTATTTCACACTTAATTTTTTAAATCATCAAATTTCAATTTCGATCGAGCCATTTTGCGACAAAATATGTACAAAGTTTATATCAATTCCAAAATTAGCGTTGTAGGAGCTACCAAGCTTAGAAAGGAGCCGATTTCGCCATTATAAATTCGATCGTCACTGCGGCAAGAGGATTCATTATCCTACCTTGCTTAGCTGCGCGAGCATTGATTCGAAATAAAGACTCAGCCATTTCACAGTCCTACAAAAATACCTTAATTTTTTGCACAAGCAAACCATATATATTTTCCCAAAGAATTTTTGGCGCTGAAACCAAATCCGACTTCAGAATTGCTCCAGCACGTCAGGATTTTGAGATATCTTAATCTAAAACTGTGAAAATAGCGATTTTTACCTATATTTGAGGTTATGTAGCACCACGACATTATCTACACGCAAAAAACTACATACGACATATTAATGAAGCAGTCTAGTCCTTTTAAATGCCGTTGAGTTTGCTCAGTTTGCTTATTTTTTCTTTGAGATATTAAATTTCAAAGTTTTTCATTCATCAATATTGTACCTTTCAGAACATACGAGTATAGCTTTGAACGTTTCAACGTCAAATTTTGTGTCAAGCGTCTTCAATTAATTATTGTTCTACAACAAAATTAAGATATATACCATGGACAGGCTAACCCAATTTCAATCTAAATTACGTCATCCCCACGAACCCTTACAGCCCTTATAAACCACCCCTACCTGAGGAGGGGTATATCAGAGACAATGTCAATGAGATATTCATTTTTTACAGAAAAGTAGTTGATTAAACTCGCTCTACCAAGGGTTCGGTGGGTAGTTTGCTTGGGGGTTGGTAGGGCGGTTTATGAGGGTTGTAAGGGTATCTGGAGATAGAGTACGTCAAGGAGAAAACAGATAAGCCTATCTGTGGTTGAGATCTTAGGTTCCTCATAGAAAAGCAGTCGATTAAACTCGCTCTACCCAGATTTATCGTAGGTAGGTTAGCCTGTTTGAGGGTTCACAGGGGTGGTTTTTAAGGGTTGTAAGGATTTGTGGGAATGATATAATTTAGGTTAAAGGTAGGTTAACCTGTAGGTTAACATACTCGTACAGCTTTCAAAGCTGTACGAGTATGTTCTAAGAGGTACAATATCTATGAAATCGAAAAACTTTAAAATACAATATCTCAAAGAAAAAACGGCATTTGAAAGGACTAGGCTGCTACTTTAAGATGTCGTTTATAGTCTTTTGTGTATAGAGAATGTCGTAGTGCTACATAACCTCAAATATAGGCAAAAATCGCTATTTTCGTACTTTTAGGTTAGGATATCTCAAAATTCTGACGTGTTGGAGAAATTCTGAGGCCGGATTCGGTTTCAGCACCAAAAATTCTTCGGGGAACCATGTATGGTTTGCTTGTACAAAAATCTTGTCGGACTGTGTTTCCTGAGACTAATTTCATTATTTAGTGGTTAGCCTGCTAATTCCTTTCCTTACGATACCTAAGCGCTCAACTCATAAGACTACCTCTCTTATGAGAAAAAGTAGTCTTATATATCTCCTCTCTATAAAATCATTCATTACTAAGAAATAGAATCGAGCATTTGTTGCGGCGCTGTCGAGCTTCTGCCCGATAGATGCAACTATACTCAATTATATTTCAAAACGATTCATCGAAACAGCGAATATTGTGTTTTGCTATTTCATGAATTTTGAAATTTCATTTCTCATAGAATCTATGCATGTCAACTTCTTGCTACTCTCGGAAACGCGACTACAACTACAATAATAAGAGTCCGAACTATTTATTTGATAACGCGAGATAGAATCAAACGTTACAGTAGAGTAGTGTTATCCCGGTTACATGAGTGATTAATTTGTGACATGGTATTTTAGCACTATTCATTATTTTCGTTTTTTTAGTGTCCTCCCAGTTCACGTAAGGCGCCTGGACGGTGAGAGCGGGGGAACATTCCCCGATCCTGGTGCAAGGATCAGTTTCTTCGGGGCGGCTGTAACGAAGAATCACGGCAACGGCCGTTGCTCCCCTTCGAGCTGTCACTAATCCCCGTGCGCCTTGCCAAGCTGAAAGTGTGCGCTGATTGAGCACACTCTCATTAATTATTTCTTTGTTTTCGAGGTGCGATGGCAGCGACGGCGTGCTGGAGGGAGCCGACGATTTAGACAGTGAGAGATGTTTCAAAAAGAGCTATAGAAATTGAAAGTGATGTTAAAAGAAGAGGATCTATAATAGGAGCCACCATAAATAATAGTTAAAATGGGTATTCAACCTACAACGAGAAATGTGAAGTGCCAAAAATTCTTACGTATGAGATTTGTAGAGAATATTTACATGAAGTTCTCTTCTGTCATATAGCTCTCTTCTGTGATATATATTTACTGCAAAGGTACTGCTCATTTTTCTAATAGTTGGAACAACGTGAATAAAATAATTTTAATTTGCGAATTTTATAGCCAACCTAATTATTCAAAAAGTACCTGTCGGTTGAATAAAAGACAGAATATTCATTACCAATATTGACAAGAATTACGACACAAAGTAGATCAATGTCTCTAATTCAGTGAATATGAAGCATTACATTTGTACGAACAAAGATATTACAAAAGAAAATAAGTGCGAAAATTATGATGAAATTGGACACACAATGCAGAATTATTCAGATATTATCTATAATAAATGCAATAGTATGGGTCACGTTGCCAAGAAATGTAAAATTGGTAAAAAAACACTATTTTTTAGAATATATATTACGTATATGTGAATATATAGGTTATGAACAAAGCGAATGTGAACAAATAAAAATCATATTTATAAAATACAAAGCCAAGCAAAATTTTAAGTGTCAACTCTTTGTTGCAGTTAATCGGAGGTATCGCTAGCTCCTTTAATGCATATGTTTTGCCAGGCATCATGAAACCTTGCATATCCACTACGTACTCCATTCTAGTAATTACTGAACTGCTTAAGGGGAGAGTCATCTTTTTAATACAGTTATCTCCACTATTTAAATAAGTTTCTTCATATCCCCATTTATCGGATTATATTGAGCGATGCGATCATGTAAAATGAGACAATATGCTGAAGTTCCTTCAGGAATATTTTCCCTTGTTTCAAAGTCCAAGCGCACATCCACTGCAGAGCTCTTCAATGCTTGTTCTATTCAAAACAATCAATAGCAATGAATGGTACTTGTTTTATGAAAGTAGATTTTTTTAGTATCGGTTCAGAGTCTTTGCCGGAACAGGTCTTTTGGAAATTGACACACATATCATAGAATATTACAAACTGATGCTCATTTATGTCAATATTATGATTATCATACGGATAACATTGAGAGTTGAGGAAAAGTTTCATATTACTAATGTTGCAATGATCGAATACGCTAGCATTAACTGTTGGAGTATTTTTTTGTTGGGCTTGAAAAGCTGAGATGTCAACGTCGTTTTTCCAGTTGTATTGCAGTTTTTACTGTCATTTGACATATATGACTTGTGTTCATAGGTAGCAGTGGATATTCATACAATTCCTAACTACGAAAAATCATTGAAATGCTTTTCTCTTTTCAGAAAATCTAATAAATCCAAAACGTATCTTTTATTTGATAGTTCAATCGGTGGAAAATATTGCGCTTCCAACAGAGAAAAATAATCCGAGAGAGTAAAAGTGAATGATTCTGCCATGGCTGTAAAATACGATTGATATTTTTTTACGTTGTCTTTATTTATATAGCCCCGCACAAAAACTGCAAATAAAGATGACCGAAATTATAGATATCAAAATCTTCATGTATTTTTATCTAATCCTCATCTACTCCGAGATATGTCATAAGACCAAATCGAGGTCTAAAAACTCCAAAGCTATCAAAATATGTTACGTTATTTCCGATTTTTCGATAAATGACTTAGTTTGTGTCTGTTCCCTTAACGTCATCAAGATTAATTATAGCTGATTCCTGATAATATGGTTCAGATTTTAGTAAGTCATTTCTCATAAACACTCCTCGGAAATTTGGTATACTTAAAATTTCGACATACTTGATTAAGTCGATGTTTGTGAGAGCTCTATCAGGTAAATTTACTTAAAAGTTTTTTTTAAGCTAAT